CCCTCACTTTTTTGAAGAGGGGGGATTTCTTTGTTCTGTACCTCATTTTTAAAAATTTTGGGGGTTTTGATTTTCGTACTCACCTTTGATAGAAGGTTGGGGGAGTTCTGATTTTTCTGTACCTCCCCTTGATGGAGTGGGGGGGATTCTAAATGTGTTCTGTACCTCACCCTTGATAGGAGTGGTGGGGAGTTTTGTGTGTTCTGTACACGGCCTTGATAGAGATGGTGGGGGAGTTCTGATGTGTTCTGTACCTCATCTGGTTAGAAGTTATGGGGAGTTCTGATGTGTTCTGTACCTCACCCTTGATAGGAGTAGTGGTGGAGTTCTGATGTGTTCTGTACCTCAGCCTTGATAGAGATGTGGGGGAGTTCTGATGTGTTCTTTACCTCGCCTTGATAGGAGTAGTGGGGAGTTCTGATGTGTTCTGTAACCTCACCCTTGATAGAGTAGGGGAGTTTGATGTTTCTGTCCCTCGCTGATAGACATGTGGGGATCTGATGTGTTCTGTACCTCATCCTGGTTAGAAGTATGGGGAGTTTCTGATGTGTTCTGTACCTCACCCGTTGATAGGTAGTGGTGGAGTCTGATGTTCTGTACTCTCACCTTATAGAGTCTGGGGGTTCTGATGTGTTCTTTACCTCAGCTTGGTAAGTGTGTTGGGGATTTCTGATTGTCCAAACCACAGTTTTGACAAAGGTTGCTCTGAAAATGTTCATGCAAATGGAAACTGGATACCCTCAATTAAGAAGAGCAAGATTATCATACTGTTCCTCAACCGTTTTTCTGTTATTAAATCGCCTCTGATATCGAATTGAGTACCTGCTGCTCAAGATGCCACAGTGTTTTGTCATGTCTTTAACTACTGTCAATGTGGTATGTTATTAAATAATAGGTATCACTACTTACATATGTACCTCTGAAATCTTTTGACTCCCATCCACATGAGGATCTGCGTGCATATTAATGATATTGAACTGTGGCTATTTTCCAGAGGTCTCCTACCCTCACAACCTGAGAGGTCTCCTACCCTCACAACCTGAGAGGTCTCCTGCCCTCACAACCTGAGAGTTCTCCTACCCTCACAACCTGAGAGGTCTCCTACCCTCACAACCTGAGAGGTCTCCTACCCTCACAACCTGAGAGGTCTCCTACCCTCACAACCTGAGAGGTCTCCTACCCTCACAACCTGAGAGGTCTCCTGCCCTCACAACCTGAGAGGTCTCCTACCCTCACAACCTGAGAGGTCTCCTACCCTCACAACCTGAGAGGTCTCCTACCCTCACAACCTGAGAGGTCTCCTACCCTCACAACCTGAGAGGTCTCCTACCCTCACAACCTGAGAGGTCTCCTACCCTCACAACCTGAGAAGTCTCCTGCCCTCACAGCCTGAGAGTCTCCTACCCTCACAGCCTTGAGAGGTCTCCTGACCCCCTAAACAACCTGAGAGGTCTCCTACCCTCACAACCTGAGAAGTCTCCTGCCCTCACAGCCTGAGAAGTCTCCTGCCCTCACAGCCTGAGAGGTCTCCTACCCTTACAACCTGAGAGGTCTCCTGCCCTCACAACCTGAGAGGTCTCCTACCCTCACAACCTGAGAAGTCTCCTGCCCTCATAGCGTGAGAGGTCTCCTACCATCACAACCCATGAGGTTTCCTGCCCTCACAGCCTGAGAGGTCTCCTACCCTCACAGCCTGAGAGGTCTCCTACCCTCAAAGCCTGAGAGGTCTCCTCTACCCTCACAGCATGAGAGGTCTCCTACCCTCACAACCATGAGGTTCTCCTACCCTCACAGCCTGAGAGGTCTCCTCCTCACAGCCTGAGGTCTCCTACCCTCACAGCCTGAGAGGTCTCCTACCCTAAGCCTGAGAGGTCTCCTACCCTCATAGCCTGAGATCTCCCTACCCTCACAGCCTGAGAGTCTCCTACCCTTCACAGCCTAAGGTCTCCTACCCTCACAGCCTGAGAGGCTTATACCCTCACAGCCTGAGAGGTCTCCTACCCTCACAGCCTGAGAGGCTCCTACCCTCACAGTCCTGAGAGGTCTCTTACCCTTACAGCTGAGAGGCTCCTACCTCACAGCCTGAGAGGTCTCCTACCCTCACAGCCTGAGAGGTCTCCTACCCTCACAGCCTGAGAGGTCTCCTTCCCTCACAGCCTGAGAGGTCTCCTACCCTCACAGCCTGAGAGGTCTCCTACCCTTAAAGCCTGAGAGGTCTCCTACCCTCATATCCTGAGACGTCTCCTACCCTCACAGCCTGAGAGATCTACCCTCACAGCCTGAGAGGTCTCCTACCCTCACAGCCTGAGAGGGCTTATACCCTCACAGCCTAAAAGGTCTCCTACCCTCACAGCCTGAGAGGACTCCTACCCTCACAGTCTGAGAGGTCTCCTACCCTTACAGCCTGAGAGGTCTCCTACCCTCACAGCCTGAGAGTACTTACCCCTCACAGTCTGAGAGGTCTCCTACCCTTACGCCTGAGAGGATCTCCACCCTCACAGCCTGAGAGGTCTCCTACCCTATCAGCCTGAGAGGTCTCCTACCTTTCACAGCCTGAAGGTCTCCTACCCTCACAGCCTGAGAGGTCCCCTACCCTCACAGCCTGAGAGGTCTCTCCTTCCCTCTCAGCCTGAGGTGTTTCCTACCCTCACAGCCTGAGAGGTCTCCTACCCTCACAGCCTGAGAGGTCTCCTTCCCTCTCAGCCTGAAGGTCTCCTACCCTCACAGCCTGAGAGGTCTCCTACCCACAGCCTGAGAGGTCTCCTACCCTTACAGCCTGAGAGGTCTCCTACCCTCAGCCTGAGAGGTCTCCTACCTTCTCAGCCTGAGAGGTCTCCTACCCTCACAGCCTGAGAGGTCTCCTACCTTCACAGCCTGAGAGGTCTCCTACCTCACAGCCTGAGAGGTCTCCTACCCTCTCAGCCTGAGAGGTCTCCTACCTCACAGCCTGAGAGGTCTCCTACCCTCACAGCCTGAGAGGTCTCCTACCCTCACAGCCTGAGAGGTCTCCTACCCTCTCAGCCTGAGAGGTCTCCTACCCTCACAGCCTGAGAGGTCTCTACCCTCACAGCCTGAGAGGTCTCCTACCCTCACAGCCTGAGAGGTCTCCTACCCTCTCAGCCTGAGAGGTCCCTACCTCACAGCCTAAGGTCTCCTACCCCAGCCTGAGAGGTCTCCTACCCTCTCAGCCTGAGAGGTCTCCTACCCACACAGCCTGAAGGTCTCCTACCCTCACAGCCTGAGAGGTCTCCTACCCTCTCAGCCTGAGAGGTCTCCTACCCTCACAGCCTGAGAGGTCTCCTACCCTCACAGCCTGAGAGGTCTCCTACCCTCACAGCCTGAGAGGTCTCCTACCCTCACAGCCTGAGAGGTCTCCTACCCTCACAGCCTGAGAGGTCTCCTACCCTCTCATCTGAGAGGTCTCCTACCCTCACGAGAGGTCTCCTACCCTCACAGCCTGACCTAAAGCCAGATTTCAGTGCTGACTACTTGAAAAACAAGGCTGTTGCTGCAAGTGTTCCGAATGCTTACACAGTATGAGGTTAATGTAAAGTGAACCAGTTATACAACAAGTATCGCTGCAGATGAAGTGAGGCTGCACCAGTGAGGTGCTCATTCGCTTCACACGGCGAGGGCCCGGGGTTTTCGGTTCCCAGCGAGGGTCAAAACATTGTATGCTTTTTTTTAACCGATTGTCTATGTTCACCCATCAGTAAAATTGGTACCTGGGTGTTAGTGGACTGGTGTGGGTCGCATCCTGGGTGTTAGTGGACTGGTGTGGGTCGCATCCTGGGTGTTAGTAGACTGGTGTGGGTCCATACCTGGGTGTTAGTGGACTGGTGTGGGTCGCATCCTGGGTGTTAGTGGACTGGTGTGGGTCGCATCCTGGGTGTTAGTAGACTGGTGTGGGTCACATACTGGGTGTTAGTGGACTGGTGTGGGTCACATCCTGGGTGTTAGTAGACTTGTGTGGGTCACATACTGGGTGTTAGTGGACTGGTGTGGGTCACATCCTGGATGTTAGTGGACTGGTGTGGGTCACATCCTGGATGTTAGTGGACTGGTGTGGGTCACATCCTGGGTGTTAGTGGACTGGTGTGGGTCGCATCCTGGGTGTTAGTGGACTGGTGTGGGTCACATCCTGAGTGTTAGTGGACTGGTGTGGGTCACATCCTGGGTGTTAGTGGACTGGTGTGGGTCACATCCTGGGTGTTAGTGGACTGGTGTGGGTCACATCCTGGGTGTTAGTGGGCTGGTGTGGGTCACATCCTGGGTGTTAGTGGACTGGTGTGGGTCGCATCCTGGGCGTTAGTTGCTGGTGGGGTCACATCCTGGGTGTTAGTGCACTGGTGTGGGTCGCATCCTGGGTGTCAGTGGACTGGTGTGGGTCACATCCTGGGTGTTAGTGGACTGGTGTGGGTCACATCCTGGGTGTTAGTGGACTGGTGTGGGTCACATCCTGGG